TTAAGTTAGTTATAAGGTAATTTTGTATAAATTGAGAGAAATGTTCTAAATAAAATCAGTAATTTAGGCCCTTTATGCGTAGGTTTCTTTTCTATTACGATAATACACAGCGACAAGTAAACTATACTTTAATAACTTATAATATTTTAAAATTAAATAATAATGACAGATTTTCAACTAAATTTTTATATAAAAGCAACTTATTATATTTGTTAACTTTGTTTTTCAATATAATTGGTGTTAAAACAACTCATACTCATACTCTTGACATTTAAATTCTTTTTTTATAACTTTCCAAACTGCAAAAAAAAATAAAAGCATAAAAATGCTTTTAATGGATATATACAATATATATGGATATACACAACTTCTTTATCTACGATTCAATGTCAATAAAAGAAATCATATACAAAAATTTTGTGTTTTGTATTAATATATAACATATAATTGTACTAAAATTATACAAATATTACAAATTGTAATAATATAAATTATTAAAATAAAATATTATTTTAAAAACTTTTATTTTAAACAAAAATTAAACTCATAAGTACATACTATGCATAAATCATGTACTCATAGCATCAAATTATCAAACAAACAAAAAACAAGTATACGTACAGAAACGAAATGCTTTCAAAAACCAATACAAAATAAAAGTGATCTAATTTTTTGGTGCAACGCTTTGCTTTGCATTTTATGCAAAGACTTTGCAGTGAAATTTTTATTTGCAAAGTGCAAAGTAAATTATGTTAAATCTTTGGTGCAACGCTTTTCACTTTTACTTTGCAAAAAAAAGTCACTCATAAATTTTGCAAAGTGAAAAGTGAAAAGTGTTGGTGCAACAGGGCCCAGTATAAAATTTCATCAAAAATCAAATTTATAATAATTTGGAAAAAGTTGAGCATTGCATGCACACAAAGTCAATCATATATTTTAGAAAAAATGTATACAAAAAGCAAAGACTGTTTCTTTGAATTTGTGTGTCCATTCAACACTAAACAACGCATCTTCGTGTTTAACTACTATTGAAAGCCCTTTCCTCTCTATTTCCTCTTAACCCAAAAGAAACCAAATTTTGTAAATATAGAAACAAAAAATTGCACTTCACTGATTGCCCTTTCGTCTTGATGCAGCAAAACTATGGAAGCATAAGTTCGCAAAACAGAAAATTGTCAACATATAAATCACACAAGCACCCAAACTAGCAATATGAATAGAAAATATAGCAACAATTTCTATACTATATCACACACCTTCTCATATGCACATTCAACAGCTCTTTCGTGTGTTTCGAACACTTAAGATCATTGTGTTATACGCAGCTTTGGTTTGTCTTAAGTGTTCTACAATTCAAAGCTGATTGTGCTTTTAGCTGGCTACTCGAGCTGGCTACCATGAAATCGTTCATGGTCCATTTTTTTGTTCTGCATTCGCAATCTGTATATTATTTGTCTGTGGCATTACGTTTCTTTGGGATGCTTGTCGTATGTCTTCTCTCTGGGAGAGGATTTGGATTACTCATTTGCTTACATTGTTCTGTATGCAAATAGCAGGTTTGCTATAAGGTCAACTTATTGTAACTACTATTAAAATAAAATGAAACTACAATGTAACGAATTGTGGTAGTTGTAATGAGCTGAATCGTGTTGTGCAATGTTATGTTTTAATTAATGATTATTGAATCGCCTATGTTTTATTATTAATCTTTATTATTATGGGATAATATTTTGTTAGGATGGGATGGGTTTTAACATACAAGGTAAAGTGTCTGATTGCATTTAACATGGTAAATGCCAGCGCGATCCTTGTCACTGTTCTCTCCAAGTTGACACACAGCCTCCACGTGGCCCCTCTGGATAGCTACAATCATCCCTGCGTAGTGAAGTAATGTGTGCAGCGAAATCCACCTCAGGGATATATGAGGTTATGCGTCGGGCTTGGAACCCACCATTTAAAAAAATTCTTTCAATGCAAACGAAGAGGCAGCCTCGGATAAGGAAACGATCTACTGATGACGACAAACGCAAACTTATTAAGGAACACGATTTAAAAATATGCACCTGGAATGTCCGAACTCTTTACAGAGAAGGTGCATCTATACAGCTGGTTAATGTCCTCAAGGAATATAAGGCTGACATTACCGCCCTCCAGGAAATGCGATGGACGGGACAAGGATGCTCTAAACGAGATCATTGTGACATCTACTACAGCTGCCATGCAACAAAGAACGAGTTTGGAGTCGGATTTGCGGTAAGCCGAAAGCTGAGAAATTTAGTCTCAAAATTTTTCTTTATCACTCTAATATGTGCGCATGCCCCGACGGAAGATAAAGATTACGACACCAAGGAAATTTTCTATGAACAGCTTGAACAAGCATATGTCCCCATCATGACATCAAAATCGTTGTTGGAGACTTCAACGCAAAGGTGGGTAAAGAAGGTATTTTTGGTGCTACTGTCGGAAAGTTCAGCCTTCACACGAAAACTTCTGATAATGGAAGAAGGCTGATTGATTTCGCCGCGGCTAGAAAGATGGTGGTTAGTTTCTCAGCATCTCAACATACATAAGGCAACATGGCTGTCACCTGATCAAAACACAAGATCTCAAATTGATCACGTTGTGATAGACGGAGGGCATGCTTCCAGTGTCTTGGATGTACGTACTATCCGAGGAGCCAACATCGACTCGGATCATTACCTTGTTGCAGCCAAGATCCGCACACGTTTATGTGCGATGAAAAAGGTACGTGAACAAGCACAGCGAAAGCTAGACGTCGAAAAGCTGCAATCACAACAGACAGCTAATGACTTCGCTACTCGACTCTCCCAATATCTGGAAAATTCATCTAAAGAAGCCGATATATGCGCACAATGGAAACACATCTCCAACTCTATGCGTACCGCTGCAGAAGAGGTGATCGGCTATCACCGTATACAAAGAAACAGCTGGTATGACCAATAGTGTCGCAATGCTACCGCACAGAAAGACGCAGCATATCAAGCCATCCTGCGGTCAGTTGCGACGCGCGCTGTTAAAGAGCGATATCGGCAAAAGAGAAGGGAAGAGAAACGTCTTTTCAGGCGAAAAAAGAAGGAAACAGAAAGACGTGAGTACGAAGAGCTTGAGAAGCTAGGCGACAGGAATATGGCTTGAAAATTCTATCAAAAAATTAAAAGCCTGACAAATGGTTATAAACCCGGAGCTAATTCCTGCAAAGGTGAAAACGGTAATCTGGTGATAGATGTCCAAAGCATGTTTAATATTTGGAGGGATCACTTCTCGAAACTACTAAATGGCGGTAGTAGCAATGTGACTGAAAGCGAAGATGATCCCGAATTTTCAATCGTTGACGATGAAATAATCGTCCCGCCTCCCGATCATAATAAAGTTAAAACAGCTATAACGCGGCTCAAAAACAACAAAGCTGCAGGCGCCGATGGTTTACCGGCTGAGCTGTTTAAAGCTGGTGGCGCAGAGTTTTGGTCGGACAACATTTGGTCGGATATATGCATGCCCAACGATTGGAATTTAAGTGTGCTTTGCCCAATCCACAAAAAAGGTGATCGTGCAAACTGCGCCAACTACCGCGGGATCAGTCTTTTAAATATCGCATATAAGGTTCTGTC